CGAGGGGCTGCTGGGGGTGATTAGCAAGTTCATTGTGTGAACTGTTCACATGTCCTGGTGGTTGAGCTGAGTTCGTTGACCTTTTGCAGGCTGTATTTTTCAGGATTGGTAGCCAGGTTTTGTTGATTTTTAGACTCTCCTCTTTTTTATTGAAACTGTGCTGGTGTTTGTGAAACTCAGTGGCTTCCTTGGATAGCCCCTATACCACTTCAAAAAAAAAGAGGGGAGTCTAAAAATCAACAAAACCTGGCTACCAATCCTGAAAAATACAGCCTGCAAAAGGTCAACGAACTCAGCTCAACCACCAGGACATGTGAACAGTTCACACAATGAACTTGCTAATCACCCCCAGCAGCCCCTCGTTAACAGCTCAATAGAAGAAAAAACCCTGCCTAATCCCCAGGAAGATACACACAGATGCTGACACCAAAACAAAGCTCAATAGAAGAAAAAACCCTGCCTAATCCCCAGGAAGATACACACAGATGCTGACACCAAAACAAGCAGCCACTTGTTAACCCAAACCCCACACCCGTGCGTGCTGGGAAAGGAAATGGGCCTTTTCCAGGTGGACTTAATCCCCCCCAACCTCTGAGATGAGCCACGTGCCGTGGTCTGTGCCACTGACTGATCCGCGTGGTTCCCACCCTGAGGAGGCTCCAAAATGCTTTGAAAATTGGCTGTTGCCCCAGGCCTGGGGTGGGGTGGCCGTTGAGGCTTCTCCTCTTGCTTGTTACGGGTGGGTTTTCTTCTGGACGTGGCAGGACCTGTTTTTCTGTGATATCATTTCTAGCTTTTTTAAAAAAAAAACCTCTAAGCTGCCCAGAGCGGCCTCTAAATGAGTAAAGGCATGCTTCATTTCTCTGCCGCAGAACATCGAAATATGCCCCAGGCCGACGCCATGGTGCTGGTGGCCAAGAACTACGAGCGCTATAAGTCCGAGGTCCGGGAGAAGGAGCGGGAAGAGATTGCCAGGCGGGCAGCCAAGATGGCCGACGAAACCATCCTGCAGGAGCGAGAACGTCCCCCGCCTGCCGAGGAGGGTCTCCGGGGGGGCCACCCTCCGGCCATGCAGGCCCTTCTGAACCTGCTGGCAGACAACCGCTACCTGACCGCGGAGGAGACGGACAAGATCATCAACTACCTGAGGGAGCGCAAGGAGCGCCAGCTGCGCGCCAGTGCCGACTCCCTTCCCGGTAAGTCCTGGCTGACGGGGGAGCCGATCCCCACTTCCCACCCCCCAAGAATGCCGGGGGGCTAGCCAAGACCTGACTCACCTTGCCGCCTTCCCTCCTTGCAGCCTCGCTTCCCAGGCAGACCATGGGAGCCCCTTCAGGGTCCTCGGGGCCGAGTTCCCAGGGACACCAAAGCAGTCAGCCTCTGCCAGCCTCGGCCGCAGCCACGGGCGCCTCCAATCCTCAGCAGGAGTTGCAGGCAAAGATCCTCAGCCTCTTCAACAGCGGGGCGGCCTCTGCAGCAGTAGCAACTGGGGGCAGTTCCGGAGTGGGGGTATCTCAGAACCCAGGTTTTGCTCCGGGGCCGAGCACGCCTGGCCGTGCCCCGCAGCTCAGCGTGGCTGGAGTCTCCCAGGCCCAGCAGCGAGTTTCGTCCCAGGCCGCCCAGGTCCCAAACCATCCGGGTTCCGCCAGGGTCTCCGGTCCCCGGGCTTCAGCTCCACAGCCGTCCCAGCCCCTTTACCAGAGCCGGCCCCCTGCTCCCAGCAACGCAGCCGCCTCACGACCAGCGCCATCTTTGGGGATCAACTTCGACAACCCCAGCGTGCAGAAGGCCCTCGACACCCTGATCCAGAGTGGCCCCGCCCTCTCACACCTGGTGAGCCAGACGGTGGGCCAGGCCCGGGCAGTGCCCCCAGCCCAGCAGAACCTGGGCTCCTACCAGCGGCATTACTGATGCCCAGCGGGCCTGCCTGCCCCCGCTGCGGAATGTTCTGGATGGTGCATGTCTCTCCCCTCCCCTCTGGCAGACTTCTGGTCACCTTGGGCTGGCAGAGGCACCAGGGGCTGCCTTGCCTTAGGCATCCTCTGCTGCTGGAGCCCCCTTTGTCCCCTGCCTCTTGTCTTTTCATTGAGAAGGGGGGACCAAGAGGCGGGCACGCTCTCCTGAGCAAGGAAGGGCGATCTGGAGCTGGCGAGGGTCAGTGGGCTTAAGGGCAAGTCCGAATGTGTGGCTGCCGTGGGAATAACTTGCTGGTAGCCGGTGTTTGGCCCTGCCAGGCGGGAACGTGGTCCTTCTCCAAGGCGATAAGAGAGTTTTTCTGGCTTTCCTTTGGCCTGCGACGCTCCCTTTGATTTAATGTTGTAAAATTTGAAGGTTAACTTTTGGGGGACCTCAGATGTCAGTTTCTTTTCCCACAGAGGAGCCTCTGCTCAGAGGTCCTTAGTGGCGACTGACCCCTGGAGCTGTAGATGTTCTGTTCTTCAATGGTTCTGTTATGTAGAGGCCGCCTCTGTACTGTTAGCAAGAGGACCTAACTTTTTAATAAAGTATACATATGTACATATATATATTAAAAAAATGTGACCGTTTCAAATATTGCAGACTGCTGCTGGTATTTGGAGGTCTGAAGGGGTTTTGTGTCCCCCTGGCAGCAGCGGCAGCACCACCCGTTTGCCAGCGCCGTTAAGTCACAGTTTGGAGCACCAGGAAGCAGCTGGTGCTGCCGAGCGCTCATTTCCCCGGCTCGGTCCAAGAAGCGGGTTTCTGCCTCCACAGCCAGTGCCCTTCGGGTCACCCTCCCTCAGGCCCTGAAGAGGCCAGCTGCAGCAGCACTGGGGGAGCCGGAGCCTACTTCATTGGGAGCTGAACCGCAGTGGTTCTCCCGTGGCGCGCTGAGCCTTCTTGTAGTCGTGGCCTTAAGACTGGGGTTGCTTGACTTCTGTAAATTAATGCAGTCTGCTGTTACTGCCCTCCTAGTAAGTTCGCTTTGGAGTTCTTGGCTGTCCTGAGTGCGAGTTTCCTGGTGGGAAGGTGGGATATAAATCCGATCCGCGAGTGTCCCAGGATCACTGTCGTGAGGAACAGGCAAGCGTTTCCCCCGTTGTGTTGAAACAAAACACCCTGGCTTTGAATGAATGAGTGAAGCAAGAGAAGAAGGCCCTTCTAAGCACTGTGCGATATTTCACACATTTGTTGCTAGAATAATTTGACCTGGAAAAGCCCAAACAAATTTTCTTCCTTTAGGTTTTTTTTTCTTTCTCATGGGTCTCAGCTTCTCTCTTCACAACCTTTTTAGAATATTGACTCTGTTGAATTTGCTGCGTTTATATATTGCCTTTCTTCAAACGGCCACTCAGGGTGGTTTTCAGTCCAGAATAATAACATCGCAACCTGATAGACGTAATGCCAAAAGGAAAGGAAGGTGGAAGCAGGAAGCAGGAAGGAGGAGGAGGAGGAAGTGTGGTTGCCAAAGGGCCCAACCACAGCGGTGCCCAAGCGGTCTCTTTGCAGAACCGTTCCTTTCTGGCTTGGGAGCTGCGGCCCACGCACGGAATGAAACGGTCTGTTTCCCTCTGGGCAGAAGTATTGGGGGGCCGGCCAGGTTTCTGGGCAGGTGGGCCAAGCGGACAGGCTGGCGCCTGGCCATCAGCAGTGGTGGGGGCTGCAGGGATGGAAGCGAGGTGCCGGGAAGATGCGGGATGGGGCAGGCTGCCCTGGGACAGCCGTGGCACAGGGAGAGAAGAGGGGAGCAGTCGGCGGGGCGTGCTGCTGCCTGGGGAGACGAGCGGGGAGCCAGCCACCTCTCGCCCAAACGGTGCTTCATCCAGCTGAAGGGGCGCGGGCTTTGCTTGTGCCGGACCAGGCCTGCCCTGCAGCAGCTCATCAGAACCTTGGGAGTGAGGAAGCTTTCCCCGCTGTGGACGTAGCCCTGGAGCGACCGTTGCGGCCCACGGATGCGCCCGAGGCAGCGTGCGCACATAGCCAAGTCACACAGAACCTCGGCTGTGCGGGTCACTTACACCTGGGAGCACAACCTTGGTGGATTTCGTGCAACAGCCTAACTGATGCTCATGTTCCCGGCCTGCACTGAAGCTCCCCAGAGGCCCTCGTCTCTCTCTGCTTTCCTTCGTCCTTTTCTGGGCAGGTTAGCGTGCTTCCAGCATTTTCATTTTCTAAGTAATGGGGGGGCAAGCAGGGTAGGAAGCCCAGGCCCCCAGGAGAGGAGTGTGCCGGCACACTGGCGTCTCTGGGCCCATGTTGGGGAGGCAGGCAAATCCTCAGGGGCTCCCTAGCGGCCAAGAGGGCCGGGGCGGCAGCGGCAGCAGCCGCCCCTCCTGCCGGCCCGGGAGGAGGGAAAGGAACCGCCCCGGGGTCATTTTCACGCGCC